GGTAAGGCGCGTGGGAGAGATATCCCCACATCAGTCACGAGGCGTGAAGGCCAAACGTCCACTTGTACGGCTGCATTTATGGGAGACACGTGTCGGTCGCTGTTTTACGACTCGTCACGCCCTTCAAGTGTCGAGCGAAGCGGCGGAATCGACGGTTGCAATTTCAAGTGCTGTTGGGATTTGAAACAATGCCTGAGGAGGCTTTAACTTCCCCGAGAGGGAAGGTGATGACTGATTTTGTCCCTTTCGATTCTCACCTTGCGATCGCTCAGAGTTCTCATCCCAACCATGGCTCCTCGTAGGAATGCTCCTTTCATCGGCAACCGTCCTTTTATGGCTCACGTTCCTTCACTTGCAACGGAGCAAGAACTGCAAGACATCCGCTCGTCCTACCGCGTTCCTGGCTACGTCCTCATGTGTCTACCGGCGGAGGACGAAAGGATTGACTCTCCTCCTTTAGGCGGGTAAGTTTCTAACTCTAAATGTTCGCCAATTAGGTAAGGCTACCGCGTTCACTCTTCACCTAGTCGTTTTTGTCCTTCGCTCGGGTTGCACTGTCATATCTCGCCCCCAAAATCCTGGGGAAAGATGATGGCGCTGGCCATCCTGTGGTTAGAACTTGGTGACGGGGAACAGATGAAGTTGGGCTTATTGACCGCCCTGACGATGTCGAAGACGATCTTCGGCTTTCTGGGGTTCTATAGCCTGAACTCTCGTATGGGTGATCTTCAAACCCCCTACTTCGAACAAGCACTAGAAGGATCACTGGTTTTTCGTCGGCAGGTAGTGGTTGTCAGGTGGCGAGTCGATTTGCGGCCAAGTGCTCAGCCACTTCAGGGAGAACGATGAGTATTCAACTTCTCCACCCTCCCCTATTTTTTTTTCTTTTGCAGTTCTGGCGTTGAAGCTTGGGTTGTTTCTTTGCAGCCCTGCCAAGTGGGGTTACATTCCCTTCCCCCAAGTCAATATCGCTGCTTAAGAGGATTCAAGCACTTCCTCTTTTCGGGAGGACCCCTACGTCGATGATATCAGATGAGAAGCTAGTGCTCCATCACATCGTCCAAGACCCCACCGGGCCGTGTGGGGTTGCGATAATTTTTTTGACTAGGCGGGTCCGTCAAAGGGTAAGTCTCTCGATCTTCGTTCATGCAGATATAAAGGGGTCAAAAATTTTTTCATGACGTGATACCCTGTGCAGGTTTGGTCATACCACAGTTAACCTCTTTGTCGAAGTCAGCCGCTCAGCTCGCTCTACGAGCGTCGTAGGCTTCTCCCGGTGGGGGCCATATCAGCAATGGAGGGAGTCCATCTATCGAGTTGTTGGCCAACCTACTGGAGGTGGTACCTCTGATCAAGCACCGCTTATCGAAGTCAGATGTGGTTGGTCCTTCAACGACGATACGCGCGAGGAACCTATATCCTAGATGGAGGATGATGCCGAGCCATCTTTGAGTAACACACCTTCTGATCCCCTTCCCATAATGGGAGTGGATGGTGTAGAGGACTAGAGCTCGATCTTGGCTCTCGACACCGTAGGGGGTTCAGATGGAAAAAAAGCTAGGCTAAGGCAAGATGGCTTAGCTGGAGGAGGTCATGCTATTGTGATTCAAGTCCACAATGATCCTCCTACCTGCTCTTCCACGGTTCACGTTAAGGAGACCGGGTGTGCATGCCTTTCAATTCCTGCTTCAACCTCCCCACCGAACCTTCTCTCCTCAATCCCTATGGTTTCATCGGAAACGTCCAGAAGTCGATTGGGGTCATGGCTAGATGACTCTTCATCCACAGGTAGGTATTGGGCACCTTCAGTATGTGAAACGAGTGTTTGGACGAGGCTTTTGAGGCGGTCACAGTCAGTTTTGTTCCTCTCTACCTTTCTTGTCTCTTTTGGTTCGGGTTTGACGCCTTTCCCGTGTGATATTTTTCAACTAGTTGGGCGCTTCCACACCCTATCGTTGGCCTTTCAAGATGAGCTGGAGGATGGGAGACTGTGGGAGCAGGACCATCAGGTAAACTCCAACGCCTTCGTGACCAAATGAGGGATGCTGGTTACGTTATCGTGACGCACGTTCAAGCTGAGCGGCTTCGGGTAAAAATGGCAGGTGCTCGGGAGGATGCTTCAAAGGTGGAGGAAAGAGTGGCCCTTCTTCGTACTGAGCTGGTCTGCACACAACGTCGAGAGGCTACGGTCGAGTCCTACGTAAGTGGAATCGAAAAGGACTTGGAGATGGCGAAAGCTGAAGCATTCGTTTGCGATGCCAGGATCGCTGAACTTGAGTCACGTCTCCTAGACGCTGAAGATAGGCTTTTCAAGGCCGAGGAAGGGGATCCCCTAGCAGAGTCTGACCTTGTGAAGTCAAAAGAAGCTGAAGGTACGACCCTAGACTCCCTAGGGCGAGAGTCTGCTTCGGCCACCAGCCTTAAGATTGCATTGGAGAAGTTGCGATCCGAGCACGCCACTACTCTAGCAACCACCGAAAGCTCCCTTATTCACTTCCAGGAAGGGTTGCGGTCGGCTAGAGCTTCTAGAGTCCCATTTTCGTGGTTCTGCTGCCTTTCACTTACTAGAGAAGGAAATTCAGCAGGTGGGGGTTGATTTCATGCTGGGGGGCTGGGCTTGGCAGTTCTTGCTGCTAGGACATCTCGAGTTGCCGGTTCATTCCTAGCTTGTGTAGTGATAACTCTCCAAAAGAGAGTTATTATAGTGTATATTTGGGTGTGATTTTATACAAATAAATGTCAAAGTGTGTCAGTTTTAGCTCGTAAACATCATGAAAAATCTTATAAACCGAACTTTGAGTTAAAGTCCTAGGTCTTGAATGCTTGGCTAAAAATTGCGCTAAACTCAATCGTTTCCGAGCTTAAATGCACAGGTTTGGAAAAAGAAGACAAAGCATGAAGAGGGTGCTAAGCCTAGAGAATAGTAGATGAAGCATGTTCGAGGAAGAGCAGACGAAAGTTGGAACGAAGCAATGCTGAAGCATGGAATTAGTGCATAGTAACAGACAAACACGGGAGTTTACCATGTCGTACAATCTTCAGCTGGGTGCCCTAAAAACAGAACCCGATATAAAAGGGACATGTTGCTCTAGCCGGCACACACAGATCCCAATAGATGCACGTTTTTTAGAGCTGAAATGACAAGAAGGAGAATTCTCTCCATTTTCGGGGGCAGAAACCTGACAATAGAAGAGATATTGTTCGCTTCCTCACAACTAAAGGAAAATTAGTGCAAGTATACACAAAATAATCAAGTGTCGTATATAAACAAGGTCATCTTCACATCGATTACAGTTTTACTTGAAATAGTAAATTAGAATACCAAAAAGACAAATTAAAAATAAAATATTAAAGTTGTATGGATGCTGTAACAGTAAATCAACAAAAAAAACAGTAAATGAGCAAGAACATAAAATTATGCGATTCTACTCTGGAGCATCCGAAAACGATAAACAGATAGAAAATGCGAAATGAAGGTAAATCGAGGGGAAATCACTCTAATACTCTCACTCACGTCTAGATATGCTTTAGTAGACTCAAAATGCTGAATGCCCAAACAGACATGACTCTCTCCCGAGATACCCAAACATGTTTAACCCCAACTCCCGTTGTAGACTAAAAAAGCAATACGAACAGTTTATAGGCACGAAAGGGTGAGTTTCATCCGTAAGTACTCACCATGATACTTCAAATAGAGAAATCTTACGCAAATAAAGGCAAACACGCAACACAAGGACTTTTCCAAGCCTCAAGTGAGCATAGCAAACCAATAATGTTGGCCAAACAAAATTAGTACAATGAAAGAATAAAACTACCTCTATTAAAATCACCATAAATATATATAAGTTACTACAACATATAGATGAGAGCTCCAGCGAGTTCATCCCCCTGGAAGGTGGGGTTTAGTTCATAACAAAAGAAAAGAGAAAAGTGGGTAGAGAAGAAATGTAGCCCATTGAGTAAGGAAGCTTCAACAGTAGTGAAGATTCCTCCAGCTCAGTGTGATGCAAGGATCGACTTCTTCTTCGTCGGCTTCTCCTCGAAAATGGGTGAGGAATGTTCTCCAATTTCGTTGCCCAATGGATTTTCTGTTCTAGGGTTCCCTTTTGCGGCTGGACACTATTCTTTTATTTATATCACGTCCTTTAAAATTAGGGCACCACCAGGAGGCTGTACGGACGCGGTAAAACTAGTGCAAATAAATTACTGTGTAGTAACAAAGTCCAAAGCATCCTGAATTGCTTCCGGCTTCAGCAACACTTTCACAGCCTTGAAAGCACTTGGCTTCCGTCAACAAATTCTCCAATTCCTAATACAACACCTCCATAATTAAGCATAATTCATTCAAAATGAGGGAATTGTGAATTCTAAAAGCTCATGGACCTAACTAAGTGATATCTATCCTCCTTTGTTCGAGAAAGCCTGTGCCTAAAGTAGGGGCTTAGCCACCGGGGGAAGTGTCTGTCTCTTTTCCATTATCTTTTGTTAAAGACTCTCACATTTAAACACCAAAAATTGCCCAAATTATGCCATAAAACACTCTCTTATGGAGAGTTATTACACCTCCAAACTTAAAACTTTGCTTGTCCCCAACCAAGATTAAATCGAACATCCAAGAAATATGAAAAGCACATGCATCTAATGAACATACATCTTGCATCAAGCACCACTTTCTGCTTTCACACTTACTGCCAACACATACTCTAGCTTATGAATCTGTTTTCGCTAAAAACATATAGAAGAGAGCAGATAAGTGCTTGTTCCAGCTCTAACAAAGGCTCTTTCCTACAACTCTAGCATCATCCTACTTTCCTCTTCAAAAACATCAACTCACCTAGAGATAAACTTCTCCAACCCCCTCTCGCTTGCCTAAGGCACTGCCCTTTTATTACCAACCTAGCTTTTCAACTATGGGCTAACTAGCCCTTTCTAGTCTTGCAGCCTCTTTGAGGATTTTTTTTTGTTTTTGTTTTGTTTTTTTTTTAAACGACTGAATTACAGGACTAGAAAAATTCATAGTTATACATTACAAACTTATCCTTACAAAAAACAAAGCAAGCGCGCGCACACCCCCAAACATAAAACGTAGCATTGTCCCTAATGCGACTGACAATAGGATATAGGATGCTCCCGCATACCTCCAAACTTAGAACTAAGAAAAGTGGTGTTATAGAGGGGCATTTTTCGCAGGTCAAATATAGATGGTGTAAAGGGACATCAAAAGGGTGTGAAAAAGAAGGATTTACTATATGGTGATACAAAGGTAGTGGTTGGCATGGATAGGTAAGTTATTGAAGCCTTATCAACTAAGTGTTATCTGTTTTGGAATTGTACTCACAGGATGTTGCTGGAGCGTTTGTATTGGAACCTAAGCTAGAGCTAGAACAAAAACAGTCACTGCTCGCAAGCGGATGCTCTAGCAAAAAGCTAAATTCAAGACTAAAGATGCATTGGCAGCATTATTACTTAAGAAGGCAAGACAAACATAAGATGCATAGAAGAGCAGATGCAAGAACAATCATATTTCAATTCATTTAAGCACTGAAAATATAATTTGGGGGAGGGGTAGATATATCTAACTACAAAAATCTAAAGGTTATTGCATGGAAAATTAAATTGCAAAACTTAAGACAAATGAAAATAAACGACATAAAGTAAACATATCATGGGGGGTAGGGTTATCAAAATCAGCAAAAGGGAAAGGTACTTTCTCTTGCATGTCAAGCATGTCAATCTCCTTCGTCTTCTTTCTCATCCAACAAGTTGACTGTGGACTAATCTTCCTCTTTCGATCCATCATCTTTTTCCCTCTCTTTGTCGCTGGGGCAGGCTCCTGCAAAATAGAAATAGCATGCCTCTTCCTCTCAGTTGAGGAAACAAAAGTTCCCTTTTCTACCTTTTTGTTCTTCTTGGAAGTGGTAACTTGAGATTTGCCTTTTTTTCTTTGCTGCATGATGATTCTCGCTCTCTTTTCGATTTTCTCGTCTTTGATGCACAATGTTTTAGAGTAGGCTTGATGTCAGGTGGCTCTTTTACAAGTAAGCTTGGTGGCTTTTCCTCTACAATGATGTGCACTTTATCTCCACAAGTAAAACCTTCTTGAGCTCCAGCATCCCTGATTACAGTATGCTCCAGCATAGCTCTTCCACTGCCACTCGGATGCTCCAACATAGCTTATGAGTTCAGCGTCTCTATTAATGTTTCATCTAGATTTTTCAGCACATAGCACTCTTCCGCTTCTACTGGGTACTTCATGGAGTCATACACTGAGAATTGGATCTCCTGGTCATGAACACGCGTGGTAACCTCTCCAATGCTCTCCCTGTGGCTAGGAATGGTCTTCTAAGGATGATTGGTACTTCTTTATCTGCATTATAGTCGAGGATTATGAATCAGCAAGAAATATAAATTTATCTACTTGTACAAATACATCTTCAAGTTTTCCTTCCGGATGAGTGATGGAATGGTCTTCTAGTTGAAGAGTTATAGTGGTAGGCCTAGCTTCTCCCATGCCTAGCTACTTGTAAATAGATAACGACATTAAGTTAATGCTCGCTCCCAAGTCACACAGTGCTTGTCCAATTTTCTGAACTCCAATAGCTACTGAAATTGTGAAGCTTCCTAGGTCTTTCATTTTCTCGGGTATCTTGCTCGTCAATATTGTACTGCATTCCTTGGTTAAACATACCGTCTCAAACTCACCTAGCCTACGCTTTTTTGTGAGAATATCCTTAAAAAACTTCACATATGTAGGCATCTGCTCCAAGGCTTCCACTAATGGGATATTAATATGTATTTGCTTAAATACCTCAAGAAATCGTTTAAACTGCCCATCTTGATTCTTTTTATGCAGCCTTTTCAGGTAGGGTACTGTAGGAACATATTTTGTTGTGGTTGATGGAGCAGTGGCTTGTTTCGGATGCTTCGGCTTGTCAGCTATTTTGGACAAGGATGCTCCAGCTTTGTCTATCTTAGCAATTTGGTTGTCCTCTTCGCTTGTGTTGCCTTGCAGATCCACTATTTGCGTAGTATTCACTAACTCCCTGAGGTTTGTCCTTTTCTTAACTGGCACGATTATAAGTGTCCTATTTGCCTCAATTTCTTATTCTTGACTTAATTCATCATGGAGTCCTAGAGCAATTGGACGGGCAGGGGGTAAAGTCTTCCCGCTTCTCAATGTAATGGCCTTACATTGCTCCTTCGCATTTCTTTTTGGCTGTTCAGTGTCACTAGGAAGCACTTCTCGTGGGCGACTCTTAAACTCTGTGGCTAGCTGACCTATTTACACCTCCATATTCCGCAATGATACAACTAGACTTTGAACAATAGTATCATTCTTCACCATATAAGCCTCGTTCTTTACCATATCCGCCTTAAACATATCATTTAGGGTCATAGCCTATGGATGCTTTAAAGCGGCATGTTGATTCTGCCCTAAAAAACCAGGTGGGTACTGCACCTTCCATTGATATGCTGGAGCATAGCTTGTTCCAGCTGCTCCAGCATTCTGCCCTGATTGATTCCCATCCCAACTAACATTCGGATTATAAATGTTTTCATAAACATTATTCCTGTTTGGCCACTGATTACCCAAATA